CTCTTCTCTTTGCGGTGCTCGGAACGGCCGTGTTGGCCGTCGACATGGACAGCCCGCTGCTGCCTTCGCTGAGCCGCAAGGACACCGTCCTGGGCCGCGTGACGCAGCTCTCGGAAAGATACTACTCGGCTGCAATAAAGTGCCTAGACATGGACCACTACCTATGGCGTCACAACTTGACCACTCTCCAAACTCTCCTCCTGATCATTTACGGAATCCACCACAGCCGCGGGCAGACCTGGACACTGCTCGGGCTCGCATACCACCTCGCGCTCTCTGTTGGCTGCCACGTCGACCCTTCTGCCTTTTCCCTCGACACCGCGTCCTGCGAGGAGCGCCGGCGCTCCTGGCTCGCTCTCATGATGCTCCTCTGCAACCAAAACATGTCCATGGCGGGCTTCGACATCCTCCACACGGCCAAGTCCTTCTCTATACGGTTGCCGGCGGAAGCGCTGGACCAAGACTTGCCCGACGGCGCACACCCGCCGCCGCCTGGGCAAGTCGGCCTCACCCCCGTCGGCTACTTCATCCGCAAATACCGCCTGTTCCAACTATCTTCCGAAATCTGCAGTCTGTCCCCGGCGAAGCAGCAGGCGGACCCTACGCTGCTCCGGAGGCTCGACGCCGCCCTCCGCCTCGAGCAAGACCGGCTGACGCAAATCCGCGACAATGCGTCTGGCGCATCGGCCGTCTTCAGAAACCTGCTGCTCAGCTTCTCGCACCACTTGATCGTCCTCCTCCACTGCAGGGTGTTTAGGCGCCCTGCCCCGAGTGCCGACGACGACGCCTGGTCGAAGGAGTGTTGCTGGGACAGCGCACGGCAGGTCCTTGCCCTGCATGCCGACTTTGCCCATTTACCTGCCTTCAAGCCTCACAGGTGGTATATCCGCGGCCGGGGCGCATTCCACGCCTTCCACGCGGCTGTCGTGCTGGTCCTGTTGGTGTCTGCAGACAGACGCGGCTCGCCGAGCGCAGAGGTGATGCAGGCACTTGGGAATTGTTTACAATGTTTGGAGTCGTTTGGGACGCAGAGCCAAATCTGTGCCCGGTCCGCAAGTATTCTAGGCCATCTGCTGTAAGTTGCGCCCTTGTGATGATGGTGCTCGAATTCGAAGGGCGTTCGGCTCACTTACTCGGTGCAGAACAAAGGTTACAAACTCGACCTCGTCATCGCAGTCGCAGGGTGCTAATGTCGAGGCTGGAGTGCAGACATCAAGCGCAGGGCTTGTGCCCGTGGATGATGCGAGCTCATCGGGCGCGCAAGTTCGCCAACAGCCTGAGAGGCACGGCGGAGGAGGGTTAATGGACGGGGTTGATTTGAACAACTTGCTTGGCAACTTTGCGCCTGGCCAGTGGCTTGATGCTGATTATATTGATTGGCAACAGCTGGACATGTTTATGCCGTGGTCTGATACCGTGTAGATACTATGGAGGCATTTGCTACTGCAACCCGAGCTTTGGACACTTCGTCCTGGCCAAAGCCCACTGGCAAGTTTACAGTGGAAACTAAAACATTCACCGTCTTCACTCCTTTTTCCGCAGGGGGATTCGATCCAGGGATCGGTACGGTAGGTCTATTCATTACGAAAGTGTTATAGACTTGTCAATAGCATCAAGTATGAATGATGGCCCGTACACTGTGGACCGAATTCCGAATTTCGTCCAAACTAAAAACCGACAGTAATTTTCCATCCATCAGGGACACCGACAGTCGAAAATTTGACCTTTCCCACGCAGTCACCGTACTCGTATGGCTTTCCAATGGTTCCTTTCCCCGCGCCAGCCGTCTTGGAAGTAGGGTTATACATGGTGACGGACGTCTTAGGAAGGTCAGAGCACTTGTGGGTGCCCGAGTTCCAGGGGTAGTACTCGACGAAGCCAACCTGGCTGCTCTCGATGCCTCTCGCGCCAGAAGGCAGTGTCCAGCTTCCAATGTGGACGGACCTGCCCGTGGCGGCGTTGACGGCCGTTCCCTTCCACTTCGTTCCGCTCTCATTCTCCACGACAATATTGTATGTCGCGCTGTAGTCGCCTTCAAAGTCTACAGCACAGCTGACGCCGGGCCCGCCATCGGCGCCGGTGTGGCAGTTGGGGTCCGAGGTCGTTGTGCCTTTTTGGAACGAGGAGAAGACGCCGTGGACGATGCTCTTGCCGTTCTTGTTGGGGCGATTTTGGATGCCGCAGTATCCCACGTCTGGGATGCCGTTAAACTTGAACTGTTGGGCAAAGTAGTAGCCGGAGGTGTGAGCAGCGCCGGCCATGTTGAACGGAAACGTGACGTCTTTGAGGCCCCCTGCAGGCTTTCCGGAGAAGGACCAGCCGTTGCCGACGAGAGCTAGGCCAAGCTGGGGGGCGAGGACTGCCAGTGTGGCCAAGGAGTACTTCATTGTTGCTTCTTGGTGAGGGTTGGTTCGTGAAGATTGTTGGATGGGGTTGTGTTAGTTGCTAATTGAATCGGAATATCAGGACCAACGGGGTTCAGGACCTCGCTCTTTATACATTTTCTCAAGTCTAGCTTGGTCGGATTTTGGTGTTTAGATTCATCAGCCAGCGACCCGTCTCCATGTAAGGCATGATCGGCGCTAGCTTCCGCGGGCTTACTCATTTACTCTGGGTTGATTGCCAGTAATCTGAAACAATGTGTCAATAGTAGTCTCTTTTCTCAATCGTCCCGTCTGGACAAGGCATTATGATACCTCGTGGCGGATTGACAAGTGTCGCCAGGAGGAAGAGGCCTTGTTCGCTTGATGATTGCAAACCTGGGCCAGCTACATAGGTAGGAGATGAATTCGTGGCCAGGACGAGTGCACTTCCGAGAAAAATGGTTCGTAATGGAATACAGTAGGCAATCCAACGACGCTACAGAATCCGACGGTCCCTTTCTTTCGAGAGTACCCTTGTCTCCCAAACGAGGGGCGTGGCCGTGCGACGTACTTGATGTGCACCATCCCGGGGTAAATCTCAGGTCCAGCGTAAGCAGACCCCAGGTCCAGGTGGGCAACGGCTGGCGGAATCAGCATGGTATTTGGAGAGTGTATACATTTCTGGCTACTATAGGCGAAAGCTTATGGAGTGAATTAGTGGCATGTGTCAGGGATATGCTGAAGCCGCTGTTGGCATGGAAGCTGCTAAGATTCTATTATACTGTCAACTTTCAAATGTCAACTTTCAAATGAATACTGTCAAATGAATACTGTCAAGTTTCAAATGTCATATGTATGCTGACCAGTTACCGCTTACTTTGAGTGATGAGAATGTCGCACCTGACCTAAGATTTAGTGTTCCCCCCGTGAAGCGTCATTCTGTTTTTAGGATGCGATAGTGCCACCGCAAAGGTTGGATTGCACGCGTTTGTCATGACTCATGGGTTGAGAGATGATCAATCGACTAGGCTGAGATGAAAAGGGACAAGGCGTAACTCTGTTTCTCGTGTTCCCAAAAAGCGTTAGTATGATAGTAATAGTAACTTTTCTCCAGCGGTAACCCAGCAGACACGTCAGTCTATTCTAGGAAGGTAACGACGGTCATCCTGAGGGGTGGTGCTGCTGGATGTCATATATCAGACGCCACAAGTTACTGTTAATTCTTTGACTAATAACAGTGCAGAGTACCTACGGAGTACTCACAAGCAAAAACACATATCAGCGCCATTGAAAAAACTGATGTCTCGGTCTTACAACGGAGGTTGGTTTTATCTCCTGTTTCCATTGCAGTTGGGAAAAGCTCATCGTCCAAGTACATCATTTGGCAAATCTACTTTTGACATTCTTGCTTCATTGTTGTCTCCTCAATCTAAAAGACAGCCCCCAACTTTGACCTTTGAATGCCGTCCACTAGTTTTGATGGGATCGCTCGGGAGATGACAGCAAATCTTCTATTGGCCCGCGCATCATGCAGTTCCATCACACTTGACACGGGCTGTTGAGACTCTGTGGCTGAGCTGAAAGGCACGGACTCAATTGCGTTGTCCTCTTTTGAGACAGTGCAGTGGCGGCAAGTGCCCGGTTGAGACGATTGAGCAATAGCTATAACCCTGAGGTCTCGTCGATTGTCAAAAGATGGCACGGGAACTGGAGCGCTCACATACAGCCAACGGCTACTAAAGACTGTCCTCATCTCAGAGCTGGGAATGATCGGAACCGTTCTCTCTTTTCAGGGTTGGTGCTCCCGAAATCTGGCTGGGCGCGGAGCAAACGTACCAAGGCGACTGTCTTGTGGCTGCGTTGAGACAGCTACGGAACTGGATAACTACAAACTCCATCAAATCTTGGTGTGTAATCGTCGCCGTTTTCTGGATATACTTTTATGTCTTGGTCTGGAATAAGGCTACGCCCATAAATCGGCCACCGGCTGGTTACTTCGTGGTGGCTATCGCTGGTCCAAATGTGAGACTCCCGCGGGAAGCTAATGACAAGGCTGTGCCGGACGTAACCCTTCGGTTCTCAACACCGAGCGGCCCGACTCGCGGCAAGCTGAATGTAGTGGTTCAATCATGACAATGCCGGACCACACATTTTCACTCACCGGCCATAGGTGGTAAGTCCGTGTGTAGTAGACGGTGACGACGTGGCAAACCTTGTCAGGGGTGATAGAGCCCAGATATTCGTATAGCCAAATAAATAGAGTTGATAACTGCACCGTACTCTGTAACGTTACCTCTGACTACATCATGTTTTTGTGCGACAACAAGGGACTTGCCTCCTCTCTTGCCCGAGACGAGCGACAATCATGTAATATTCAAGACCGAAATGGTATCCTCCTAGTCCCTCACCTTCTGTTGGGTGTATCACCTGAGGCTTTCTCACGGTTGGCTCGCAGTTCACGGGTTGGAGTGAGCGCGACTCAGGAAGTTGCTCTTCAAGGCATGGAATGCGATATAATCCCGGACTCAAAGCCAACAAATCCTACATAAGGATGTACTGCGCAATATGAGGTCAAGTGATTCCCCACCATCTCCCAGCAAAAAGTCAAAGCTATTAGTGTGACAAGGGTTCAATTATGAAGGCTTGGAGCGAAAAGGGCTCAATTCCATAATAATCTCGTAGGATGTCAAAGGTCCTGAGTTACTACAAGAAAGGAAGAGAAGGGTAACCGCCTTATATACATGAAAGGAACGCCCGGGCCTAGGGTCCTTGCCCAGGCACGTGTTCTGGCTGTGTAACTAACAAGTCCTGTGTCGGCGAAGCCCCTTTGTTGGGCTTCACGATCTGTTGGGCCTTTTCCGTGTAACAATTAGTCCAATGTACAAAAGGCTCCTCATCTTGAAGGCAGGTGTTCAACTTGTCCGAGTATAGTCGCACTGGTCACAAATCCATTTAGTACAATATAATATAAAAATTGAACAAGTAATAAATTGGCAACATTCAATTAAGCAGGTGTATCTAAAAGTCGCAACGCAATGCATCCCAATCAAGACTATGACAAAAAAAATTCCCCCAGAATACACGAGTGACGTGGCACACAGAAACGGAAGCCAGGGTTAGGGTCAGCTAGAAATCTCAAGCTTCAAACCTCCAACTCGTCGAGTCGACAAACTGCACGTATATCTCGGCACATGATCCGCACAAACTCAGTCTTACCAAGCGCCGAGAACAATTGACGACACGGAATTGCAAATAGCCCCAGCCTGCTTCCTCTGCCCTCTGCCCTCCCTGGCAAGAGAATAGGTAAGCGGGCGTCAACGAGGTCGTAATATTGACGCCTCCCCCGCATCATCTCGCCTACACCACCTTCTACCAGACAAGTCAACCCAATTCATCATGAGTCTCCTCGGGAAAGCATTCATCGTCACAGGGGGCGCCTCGGGGATCGGCAAAAGCACAGTCAGGAAGCTGCTCGAGCTCTCGGCGCAGGTGCACGTCGTCGACGTGGCCAGCGACATCCCGGCACACGCAGGGCTCGCCGGCCGGCAGACGAACCACGCAAACGTCGACGTCGCCTCGCGGAAGCACGTCCGCGCCGTGTTTGACAAGATCGCCGCACGGGCGCAAGAGGGCGTGCAGCTCGGCGGGCTGGTGCACTGCGCCGGCATCCTGCGCCCGACCGAGGCCTCGGAGGCGGGCGACGAGTACCTGCGCCAGCTCTGGGACGTCAACGTGCTGGGGACGTGGAACGTCAATACCGAGCTGTACCGGCTCGTCAGGGCGTCGCGCGAGTCGAGTGCCGGCGCGCGCGTCGACGCTCTCGCCAGCATCGTCAACATGGGCTCCATGGCGTCGGTCAGGGGCATTCCCGACGCGCCGGGGTACGTGGCTACGAAGCACGCGGTTCTTGGGCTCACTCGCTCCTTTGCGCAGTCGTGGGCGTCGGTCGGGCTCAGGGTCAATTGCGTTGCGCCGGGCGCCGTCAACACCCCCATGATTCAGGGCATGGCGCTTGAGGATGTCGCGCCGGCGTACAGGGGAGCTCTGAGGTCGCTGATT